GGTGCTGCCACAATTACCCCATGCAAATTGCATGACGAATGGATGCGTCGGGCGCAATTGCGCCTGTTAAAAAATGCATTGATTTTGCAGGAGTAATGTCAATTTCAATCATCTTGCGCTCACGCTCCACATCGTACGCGCAAAGCATTCGTCTCCATAAAGCCGCTCTTTTCTTCTTTTTTTTTTCTTAAAGGCATAAACCATCTGTTCGCCACGGTGAAATCTGTGACAAATTGACCCGGAGTGTGGCACACTTATGCATATTTATCGTATGCTTTCTAAAAATCTTGAAAAATTAACCATACAAAGCATTTATCCCTGGGCCGCTCATGTTTCATTCGAAGCTCCTAAAATGGAATGAGTAAAGTGTCACTTTGCATTTGTGAACGTTTGACGCTGGCGCCTTTCAGACGGAGACAGCGCTGAGACACGGCACGCGCCTCGCCTTCCATTTGGCCTTTGCGCATCTGTTTAAAGGATGCTGGTCTTCCCAGTGATGTGGTTCACGAGGGTCCGCCACTTCATTTGACTTTCGTTTTTGCCTTCCGCCGTAGTCATAGCAACAGGTTAATGAGCAGCTTCTCTGATCTTCCTCTTTCGCCGTCGAAGTTGCTTAGATACATGCCACGTTTGGGGCTGGAGAAGAAAGGTTTTGCCTTCAACTAAAATGAATCTACTTCACTGGGAGTAACATGCAGGTATAGAAAAATGAGATCTGCTAATGCGGGGGGGGGGGGGGGGGGGGGAGGAGTGGATTCTTGCAGCACTCCTCCGTTTCAAACCGATTACGATGTTTTTTTTGCAGCTCGCACTTCAAACGGCCTGTGTGATGTACTCCCATCTAAAATTCGCATATTTCTTTTAGAGCGCAACAAGAGAGATGAAAAAATACATCTCCACCTCCTAGATCCCACCTTGATTTACAGGCCCAATCTGTGGGCTCACTTTGCACCTTGCTTCCCTTGTCTGTTCCCTCCCGCTCCCTACATCCCCAGGTTTAATCAATACTCCATAATTCAGGTCGATAAGAGCCCCCGCCCGCACTCTCAGCCCCCACGCCGTTGCCACGAAAATTTTCAACAACAAAACACTCTGTTGGACATGGTGTGCTCTATTTCACTTCTGATTACATATCGATTACATTTTTGTAATATAAAATAGGAGCAAAAGCAAATTTGCTCACCTGGGTCAGATTAAGATTGCCGTTTACTCTGTGATTTGCTGCATTCTGGGAGAGATGAGGCTGACAAGGGCCAAATAAGGAAATAGGGCCCCTCTGCCTTTTCATACACTGAAGACATGAGCAAAGTTGATTAATTCTCTCCTGGCTGATGGAAACAGCAGATGGTCTCATGCAAAGATGGGCGGTTGACCACAATAATACTGCACTCTTATGAGAAATTAAGAATTTCTGGGCCAAATCAAAGGGGATTTCGGCAGGTAGGGCAAGCGGCTGCTATTGATATTTCAGAGAGCTTTGTCCAGATAGAATAGCACTGCAAATGCTGGCCAGGAATGGACTTGGAAGGCTGCCTTCTGCTCCATTGGCTGGGGCATCCAGTGATCTGTAAGGAGGTGCCACTGGGTAATTTGGAGCACGGAAGCACTCAGGTATCTCTAAAGAGACGCCCATGATCTCTTCTCCTTTTAAGTTCTTAGCAGGGAAGAATAAACAGCGTTTTAGATGAAAGCACAAGCTTTTCCACAATAGTGAGAATTTCATTTCAAGTCATTTCCAGGCACCACAGATGAGACTGCATAGAAACCCCTTTGACCAGCCACCAGGGACCTGACAAAGTTGACCAGTTGGCCGGCCGTTGTAGGACACCCACACCCTTCCAGGGATGTCATAATGAGCTTTATGGAAATGGCCCAGGCTTCTTCTGGAAACAGGCCCTCATGCCATCACGCACCTCTGCCCACGCTGGGGGAGCAGCACCTGAAGTTGAGCTGGAAGCCCATTTGGAGAGCATGCTTCCAGAAGCTCAGCCACGGACTCGCGAGTTCCCACTGACATCGGAAATAAAAAAAGAAGGTGCTGACGGCAGGAGAGCTGCAGGATGTGGGACGCGCATATAATCCCTGACTGACGGGGTTATCGCAGGTCAATCCCATGATAACGCCACGTAAAAAGCCACTGACAGTGCCTTTTGTATCGGAGTTTAACATCTGCTCCAGGAATCATTACATTCGGCATTTAGGCTTCCGCATCTCCAGGCTGCCTTCAGCACGGCTTATTTCAGGCGTGCCGGAGAGCCGGGAAAGCAAATCCCTGCTACCCCTGCACTGCTCAGAGGCTTGTTATTGCACCGTGGAGAAGCTTCACCGTTTCTGGCACCTGAATGCGAGTGTGAGCCTCTCCCTCACGCCCTAAAAGCTCTGCGGTCCCCGACTGCAGACACTATAGTGGAAATTACGAAGGCGAAATCGAGACGCCAGATCAAGGCCGGACTTATGCACGGGCTTACCTGCAATGTAGCCCAGGGTCCAGAGTTGCTGGTTGCTACGGCAGCATTTTATGCTGTAGGTCAGGCCCCAACAGTGATCTTACCCCCACCCCCTAAATTTTGCCATGCATGAAATGACAAGAAAAAAAACAAGGGTGACTTGTTGATATATCCCATATTGCGTAATGAATTTATTAATGCATGAGATTATTTGATAAGAATTGTAGAGGAAACAATGCTTCATTATGCCCATTAATAGTCATTTACTAGTGAAGAGCTCTGTTAGAAAATATACTTGATGGCAGGTGCTGGTCCACGTGCGACGTTTCAGCCTCGCAACATTTAAATGGACTTTCATTCAGCAACCTTTCCTTTACGTGCCCGTCCTCCGGTTGGGTGCAGCCCCGCGGCAGCGGTAAAATCACCGCGCTGAAGGCTTATGCGTGTTTTTGCGACTGCTGATGAGATGCCCACGTCCTGCAGACTCCCGATTAAGGGCTGGCGACCGGCTCAGCCAGTACATCAGTTAGCTGTCCTCTCTTAGCGGACGCGGAAATGACAAGATGGAGACGCATGTCTAACCGATAACACATCATGTGTTATTTTTCCCTTACAGCTAACAGCTAGTAGGGTCAAAGCTGAGCTTATTATAAAAAATAAATATTACTATTTGCCATGCTATGAATCAAGGTTATTATTGTTAGCTAATACTGGAACTAAAATGATAACAAAACTAATGATAACAAAAGCATGTTAATCAAAATTTAAAAAAAACTAAAAGTGACACACAAATACTAAACTGAGGTGGCAAACTGGAATGAAATAAAAATGAGTAGCAACAAAAATTTGTGGTTCCTATTTTTAACTTCTGTTTTTGAGATTGAAAACCTGCTTATAGGCACATTTTTTTTACTCATATCTTTGTGGGGACCGTCCATTAACTTCTATGGGCATAACCCTAATCCCAACAATGTCACCCTAACCCCTACCCAGCCCTAACCTTAACTATAAGTAACCAAACAAAATACAAGACTTTTGGCATTTTTAGGTTTTTGTTTACAGTCACAGATTTTTATAAAATTGAAAAAAGGGGTCCACACACAATCAAAATAAGTTTTATCACATTGCGGGGACATTAGGTTCCCACAATGTAACATATCCACACCCCCAGCCCACACACACACACACACAGACTAGTCTCCCTCTATTCTCTCTAGATTCCTGAAGGAAACACCTGTTATTATTGCATTAGGTTTGAACATATGGTCTTTAAGGACATAGATTTCACTATTGTACGACGTAGGTTGCAATATGAATAAAATGGCTTTAAATGAACTTTATCCATCCATCCATCCATCCATTTTTTGAAACTGCTTATCCCATTCAGGCTCGTGGGGGGTCCGGAGCCTATCCTGGAGGCTATGGGTTCAAGGCAGGGAACAACCCAGTACAGGTTGCCGACCCATTACAGAGCACACTCTCACACATCTTTATTTAACATTAACTAAAATATAAATAAAACCAAAATTTAGTCTCAAACAAAAGACTTGCATGTGATGCATCTTCATTTGTATTAAAAGAAAAAAAAACACCAGTGCAGAGAACAGAAACGTAAAGAAAACTCGAGTGTCCTCTCTGAAAAACAAGAAACAAGTACCAGACTAGGTAAAGCCAGCTGGTTTGTGCGTATTTCTACACCTAATTTAGCCAGCGATCATTTGAAACACATTGAAAGTAAAGCAACTATTTGTTTCTATCAATTCCAGAAAAGAACATTGCAGTTTTTGGTGTTTTTACCTGTTACTGGCGCTCTATAAGGTTTGTACTGACGATTGTTTTCTTTCATATCAAATGTGAAACTAACCCTTATGTTGAACCATTTTTCCCCACTGAAAGTCAGACAAAATAGCTAAACAGTTTACAGACGGACCTCACAAACAAAGCGGAATGCTTTCTCTGTCAGAAAAAGGGTTCAGCCCTGGTACAATTTTGTTCCCTAAGGTACAAAAAACATTAATGTACCTGTAATAGTACAAGAATGTTCTTGAGAATCCATTTCTGTACCTTAAAAGGTACATTTACCGACGGCTAGGGTACAGTAGGCAGACCATTGAAGGTACAATCCCAGTAACAAGTAATTGTACCCTCAGGTACCAATTTGTACTTTTTTATAACAGTGTACTTGTCAGAATCATGCATGGTATACGTGCTTGAAGTTGGCTAGATACTACTTCCGGGTAAGTTTCTAATTCGTCGTCTCTTGACATTTACGTTTTGTTTTTATGTGTTGACAAAAGTGCCAGCACAAGTTGTCATAGTCTTGGCATCATGCATTAATTTGTATTTCATTACTGTCTTGTTTTCGTCAATAAAAAATCTTTGTTGATGAATATTTTTCATCAAAGTTATCGTTATCAGCCCCCCATCCCCCAAATATGGGAACCTCTGGTCTAATGAAGCCTAAATTACCACGAACCGTAGGCTCACAGCAGGCACACCAAAGTTGGTTTCTTCATGACAGAGAGACACAGGGGCAAACAAAGGAGCACACGCTTTTATTGTTCTACAGGACTGTGCTTTATTTTAGTCTAAGCAGAATATAATGAACTAGAGAACTACAGTTCAGGAGCACTGCAGCAGAAACCCCTCCAAATCAGGGAAAACAGACCCCTTATCAACGGTATTTCAAATTACAGCTCTGTTTCAGGAAAATAAACATAAAAATTTTGTTTCTTCAAGAAATAAGGATTTAAAAAGGTACATATCTACAGAGTTTAACATAAAAAGTTAACAAATCAATACATCCAAAGGTAAACAATTCCAAAGAAAATCGACAGTTATTTTTGGATGTGGTAAAAGGAAAAACTATGAAAAAATGAAGAGAAATATTAGTGCAAAGCTGTAAATATGTTGTCCCTTACAGTTTATTTAGTTCAGGTGTTCTGTGGTCTTTTGAGGCGGTTCTTTGCGTCTAAATTACACCTGAAGCCTACAACTCAATCTATCAGTACAACAAAGCAGAAACTGTGCTAAAATTTGGTCCTTATACAATTTGAAATGGGACAATGACCTCTAATACTGACTGGTATAAGAGGTGGAATTGAATTTGAAGGCCGCACAACATTCTGGATCGACAGCTGGTTAATAGTGCTCAAAGATGTTCACCAAGGAGCCCAGACACCAGCAAAGAAATAGTTGCTTGCTATTTTAAGATAAGACATTGCGCAATAGTAGATGTGGTGCTATCAGAGTGAATGGTCTGTTTAAGGCTGATGTCCCGCAACATGTGCTGTTCAGCACCTGGACCACAGGCAGATGTGACAGCTGGTGCCAGTGAAGCACGTTTCTGCTTTATTGGCACTCTAATTGGCACTCAATTCGTTGTCCTCCAAGGCAGGTACATGGTACGCCACGACCGAGACGAGCGAACCATGTACGGGAATTACAGGAGATCAAGATGGAATGAAAGCAAAACTTAGTTCTAAAAACGATGAGCTTTTGACAAATACGACCAAGCTGCATTTTAGGTAGAATTCGGGATGAACAATGGAAACGGATCCAGCAAAAAGCACAAAGCGCGTTTTGAAGACAACGATCACGGTGGAAAAACTACATGGGACTTCAAAGCACAATGCTGGAATGAAAACGTGCATTTAAGTTCCAGTTATTTTCATTTCTCTCTCTTTTAATAAAAACACCAACGGAAACCTCTGTTTGAACTCATTATCACTTCCACCAGATTTTGGCATCTTAATTGAATGGAATCGTATAATGGATGCATCGTTATATGTCTCCCTGTTATGCTTTTCTCCCCCGCAGATTGATTTTTGCTGAATCTTCTTTCCATTTAGTATTTCAAACACAAGAGCTCGCACCTAAATACTGGAACACGGAAGCCTTTTCTTCCCCATATAAAATTATGATGATTTTTGTTGTCGTCGTCATTTTGTTTGAAAACAGCATTGCACAACAAAAGTTCCTCTAATCGGCAGCACTGTGTACAACGTTGTAATAAACACTTTGAACAACCGCGTCCATTCCAGTTTTGATAATTAAGAACGAAAATAACCAAAAGTGAGACAGAAAAAACAAAGAACATTCACCATAAATATAAAATAATTTACACATTAAAGCATCATTGTACAAGAAATAAAATATTTTTCTTTTAATGTTTTCTGATAAATTATTTAATAGTTTTTTTTTCTTTTAAACTCAGTGAAATATATTTTTTAAAGATGTTTTTTATTTTGCTGTCTACAAAGAAGGTTGATACCAGACTTTAAAAATAAGTTATATAGTATATACAAAACTACTGTAGAATATCCTGGAAAGCAGAGGCAGGCCGGACACAGGCTGTGTTTGTAGCATGGTAGCATGCTAACGTTGATGAGTTTCGCTCACAGGTTTTCCCTGTGTTGATGGCAAAGAGATCTCCCTTTTGTCAGTTCACATTAGAATACTCCTGCAGCATATCAGGTATATATAACAAGGAAGATTGCAGGAGATGAAAATCAGAAAATGGGGGATATACTGTGGAGCAGAAAATATTTTTATTCCCATCAAAACAGCTTAATTTAAGTTACCTACAGAGGAATGACTCCGAGCTTTGATTTGTTACTTATCTGCTCACATCTACTCAAATATGTAGGTTTCAGCTCTCAGACACACTACGCTCATTCAAAAAGCAGCCCAGATTAATGAGTTTTTCCCGCTCTTCACCTACAATGCGTTCTTGATATGAGTGTTCGTATCTCCAGCTGAGCGATGTTGTTCATACTGTATCGGACATGGGTTAAGGCTCCCAAACTGACAATGACTAAAAAAATCCTTTTTATAAATTAAAAAAAGAACTTTGAGTAACACTTTACTTAAGGCCATGTTTTTAGTAATTTATAAACATACTGGTAACAAATAATAATGCATTCATAAAGCATTATAAACATAGCTGTAAATATTTATCAAAAGCCAGAACAAAATATAGGCGTGTGCATTATTTATTATGACTGCTTATGAAACTCATCTAAAATGCACTATAAATACCATTATAATGCATTATAAAGGTCATAATAAGCATTAAGGATGCTTGGTACTGCATTATGAAGGTATCTATAGTGCATTATAGATGAGAGCTTCATAAGCAGTCATAATGCATAATAAACATGGCTATAATGTGTTACGCCTTTTGATACATATTTAATGCCATGTTTATAATGCTTTATGAATGCATTATACTACATTATGAATGTGTATATAAATTACTAAAAATGGCCCTAAATATAGCGTTACTAAACAAATATCCACAATTAAAAATATCATTTTTAACATTTTGATATAATTATTATATAAGGACAATTTCCTGGCAAATGCTTGCAATTTGTTTCATATATCATAAAAAAAATGAAATAATCTTGGTTATTATCACCAGGCTTTAGAAAATGAACACTATTAACCCCGTGCACCAATACCACTTTCTCCTTCTGCATTTATTCACACTGGAATATGATATGAACAAGACCTTAGTCTAACCAGCATAACCAGTGCTGTAAAAACAGCAGAATGCCACCCTTGGACACCCACAGAATTCCAAGCACCTGAAGCCAATGTCTTACAGTCTTTTACAGTCGAAGCCACACCCCCCATCAGGACCTGCATGGTCAGTGGGTAAAGCTCCGATGTCCAGACGCTTATCTATAATTCTGAATTTCTTTAATCCAGTCATACTATCCTAATCTGGATCCTATTAGCTTTCCGACTGGACATTGCAGGCAGGCAAATTTCTATACACTGTTGTTCATAGGAAATACTAAAACAGTTCATTTCTAAAAGAAGGGTGGTATGATGATACGAGAAGCTCCATGTTCCTTATCGCTCGCGCTGTTCTGTCAAACCTGGCTCTCTTCCAGCCGTTACCATGACAGGGCTGCGATTTTAGCTTTTCTGTTGTCGCACCATGTTCTAGTGCACTTAGGGACGGGGAGGCTGACTCAGTATCTCGCCACAGGCTGCCACCAGTGGAACAACCGTCCTATTTTAAGATGCATGTTTTCCATTCTACAAAAACGTAAGGCCCTGGGGGACGGTCCAAAGCAGGAAAGGACTCTATCAATACAATTTCTTATCTCTGAGCCTGAAACTCACACAGAAAAAAACACCTAAGAACAACCAGGGCATGAAATTGATAGATTAGCCTGAGTTTTCCATTGGCCACTGGCAGAAATGCATTACGAGAAGATTATGCACTGCTCTGATGACAAAAGGGGTTATTTTATTATTGGATAGCGACTACGTTGAAGCTCAGCCTTTTCATGCTGAATTCTGAAACACTTTGAGAAGCATATTAAAAATGCATCACGTCTTCATATCTATGTCATTCTGCTGCTTGCCTTGACTTAATTAAAAAAAAAAAAAAAGACCGTTTAGGTAAAAAGACTGTCCTCCTTGTTGACTTAATAGCAAACAAATCCAGCAGTGCCTCGGGATGCCCCTCTGATGTCATGGTTAGGGTCACATTGCTGTGCAAGACACTTCTGGCAGTAATTTAAAGCTGAACACGGAGACACATATTAGATCCCGCAACACGGTGCTAAGAGCCCGGCTGCCTCACGCCAACCAGCTGCAGGCAGAAGTGAAATGTTCAGTTGTACCTTTTACATGCTGTCATGATGGAGCACATTTCTCTATTCCACGCACAACACAAAGCAACTTCCTTTCCATTTTCAGTAACACATATTCATTCTGTAATACCAATCAGAAGCTCATTCCTTCGGCTCCTGTCACCTATATTTAAAACGCTGAATACATAAAAGTGTAATTAAAAGATTTCATCTTACATAGGTCTATACTGTCATTGTAATACATAGCAATTTCCACATCTGGCCATTTCAGATTTTAAGGTGCCCTCCAGTGAAAATCCAAATTTCCCTTTATGTCATATTTGTACATACACCTTTCAAATATTGTCATGCGTAAATAGATCACCTATCATGATTTTTAGGAATTTTGGCTTATAAATAAGGAATGCCAAGGATTTTTCACATGTTGGGTTAGGCAGATTAGTGCTTAAGGGCATACTTACAACTGCTGTAATACCCATCAAGGTGTACCCCCGCAGAATTAAATACAGATGTCTTAAGTGATGGTAAAAGCATCATATAAACAACTTTGATACAAAGATTAAAAAAAATAAAAAGCAAACAAAAAGAAAAACATAAAAAGATTCTAACACTTTTGTTTTAAATTAATTGAGATTAACAACTGAAGGAGCACTGCAATGGTAGTTTATTAGGAATAAATGCCCACATTTAAATATTTAAAGTAACAATTTAAGTAAAGCACTTGGTTAAAGTGTACAGACTCATTTCTATCATTTCAGCTGAATGTTTGTCCACTAATCCTCTGTAAAATCAATGGTACGAAAAAATAACTCTCCTCTTCAGGGCATCTGTAAGAAATGACCCCCACATGGCAGGCTAACTACACTGTGAGTGCCGGTCGTGTCTGCCGCACACCTGAGAAACTGCGGAACCAGACCTGCCAGACGGTTTTCCCACGCGATACGTCATACGGCATGGCTTCCTGTATTACGTACTGCCACTTCTCAGTCCTGCGTCCAGGAGGTTCACAGGAATGTCACATGTTACTGAGTCTATAGGTATACAATTAATTCATTATTATGCACTGCTACTACTGTTATCACCACTACTAATAATCATAACAATAATGGCCAGAGTCGGTTTTCCGGTTTATTATTTTGGGCTGTTCGATGTTTAGCGCTAACCTAAACGATTGGATAAACACGAAACGTTGGTGTGGGTGCAGGTACCATAGGCTTTTGACAGTTTATAAGCGATTAAAAAATAAAAATGATTAAATGTTTCACGTACTAGCTACACAGGTTTCGTTCTTGCAGTCTGATTTCTGCAGCGCTACATGCTGGACTAATAAAGTCGTCTCATGAGTGTAAGACCAACATGGCCGCCTACACTTAAGTGTCTCTCTCGGTTAGCGTTGGGGATGATGCAGCCTTCCTTGCTGCCCCTGGAAGGGGGCTATTTCCGAAAGGTAAGCATTACATAAGCAGACAATGGGAGACCTGCTCCTTCCTTTGAACTTTCTTTCTGGTCGTACTCTACTCCAAGTAAAAGGACAACAGGCTCCTAACTAGCATTCCCCAAAAAACAAACATGTTCACAAGACTGTTAGAGCAGTTAGAGAAACTCCATAGTGTCCGAAGGCAAAATAAAGCTAATATTTTGTAATATCTGTATTACACTCAATGCTCATAACTTTGAGTCAAAGTAGTTGCTGTGCTTTGCAAACTCTTCTTCTTCCAGTGACACTGTACGATACCCTGGGTTGCGCTGTGCTTTTGACAGTTGTCTTGTTGATTTTTTTTTTTAAAGTCTTTACCATGACCACACAAAGATATTTTCTGCACCAAAACAGACCACACTCAGAGGCACAGTGTAACTCTGGACTACTGGAAATTTTCTGTCCGGAAACACATATTTTTTGCCTGTGATCTTGGAGATGTTGGTGCACTGCACAAATATCGGAACAAATACACAGGAACTGCTCTAAAACTCTTGACGAGATATATTTAATGCAAAATAACCAATTATAAACTTGATTACTGAACTGAAAAGAACTTTAGCCAGTAAAAAAAAGTAGGGGGCCAGCATCTGGTGACAGCAGTGCAGCAGAGCTATAGCTGAACGGGTTATGTCTGGGCACTGTAAAGTGTCTGAGAGACTTGGAATGTATCTGTTCAATTAATTGGTTTACTGGAAGTAAACAACAGATTTGGCAGAAGGCAAAAGGTGTCGGACAAACCAATTGAGACTCATCAAGACTGCAGTGCTTTCTACTAAATTGGGCCCAGATAGGGATCTAAAAACCGGTCCTGGGATCCCGTAGCTTTTGTTTGGTCCTAAGGAGTGGGGCCAACCAAAGTCTGGACTTACACCTGTCTTTGGAGGGGGCTGAGGATGGACTTAAAAATCAGCCCAGCTCGTTCTTTACCCAAATCCCCTTTCCTTTTAAGTGGTCACATTAAGATTTGCAAAGCGTCTCTGGAAGCTATCCAGACCGAGAGAGCTTTTTGGAATAAAAGAAATTAAATACAAGTATGCAAACAAAATGCAAATTTGGTACCTGAGAGAGCCCAAAGCCATTCCCAGTTAATGACAAAATCTTCAACACTTAGGTTCAACCAACATTTATGATCTGAAATGGATGCATGCTCTTTGCAATAGAAAATAAAGTAGAGCATTTCCTAACATTAAGCTTTGGAATGGCCTATATTTAGAGAGGCTACAATTAAATTTGCATCGCGTTGAGATCTCAAAGGCTCATATAAAATGTAAGATAGAGGAAAGCAGGTCAGGGAATTCGCTCACATTTCTATTTACATACTCTAATGACAATACTAAATGACTTATAAAAGCTTCCAGTTGTCACTCTGTCATCAACAAGTAATGCTTGACTTGTAATTAGGTTTCTAATTGACAAGAGGATGTTTTTGCTTCCATTCTACAACTTAAAACATATTTGCCTTTATACCTCAATCTTGAATTGTCTCCTAGGAAGTGCACGTTGATCAGCTTTTCTATTATCACACGGCAGGTATCCTGACCCCAAAAGACCACGCCCACTTCCTGTTGTAACTTCCTGCTTTTGCCTTGTCTGTTTAGGGATTTCACAAATGCTCTGGTAATCATCGCAGGGTCTTCTGAGTTCTCCCCCAGGACCTGGCCAGCATCCATTCACACTCTTCTCCTTTACTTCAATTAACAGCTCTTTGTGAAATCTGTTCCATACTTCTTTTGTTAGTGACCTATGCTAGTGAATCCCTGATGCAGTAAAAAAAAAACGTAATAAAATACTTTTAAAAAACAGCTGAACGAAAGCACGCCACTTTTCAGTTTCGCTTGGTCATTTCAGTAGATTGTCGTTTGATCATGAAGGCCAGCCTGCCTGCACACACTCCCGGTGCCGTTTTTTTTTTTTTTGTCCAGCCGGTTCATCTTGCAGTTGTTAGAAACTCGCAGTGAAATGTACAGCATGATGAGGAAGATATCCAGTGGCAAACCAAAGTCCCACAGAGAGATCGAACGCTTTCACCAGAACCGTCCCAAGAGAAGCATTTTTCCTCCTTCATTATCAAAAGCAGGTATTCTTAAAAAAAAAACACAAAAACACCAGAAATTTGCTCTTACAACTCTGCTAATCTAATATACTTTTCTAAAACTACCTGATACAGCAAATAGCTACAGGAACAAATCATTTTAAACTCCTCTTCTATTTTTTAAATGCTTTTTTTCCATAATTGGTTTTTTTAAGTCATACTTAAGCCACTGGATAATGATTGAATGTCTCTCTTTCCCCTAATATTGAATTGTAAATACTTGCAGCTACAAGGTAAGAGTTATATATACTGTATATATATGAATATATATATACATATATACGTCCTTTAAAAAGCATTTGGTCTTTTGGTCCCTATATCCTAAGGAATGATGCTTGTAAATAATCTTGGATTCTCCTCTTCCCTCTCCAGTTCATCCATCGCTTGTCCTGGCAGCCCTATCAGGGATAAATATACCTGTGTGCACAAAAACCAAAAAGCCAGCAAGCTGGTGTGTCTCCTTGTCTGTGTGCGTGTGTACAGCTGTGCATGTGTGAGTGTGTGTGCTGTTTTTGGTGTGCTTGAAAGTCTCTGTGTTTTTCCTGGTAAAGCATGCTTGGAGCGCTATGAGTCTGTAAAGGTTCTCACTCCTGCTTCGGAGAACAGCTGCAGCAACTTGGTCACAATAAAATTGGCTTCCATCAACTGCGAATGAAAAATTGCCAAAAAAAGATGGAGGGGGGAAAAAAAGAAAAAAAAACTGGGTTAGGGAAAAAAACTTCCTGGATCCTTTTTCAGTCGTTCGATTTCTTTCCCAAATAATCAAGGGACCGTTCTTCTTTCAGGATATGTGGCAGAGCGAGAAGTCTTTGTACTTATACTGCACTTGTGGAAATAACATTTGGAGACCCTTCACCCTGAAAGACAGAGAGCAGCGAGAATGAGATCACGGCAATCACAGCTGAGTGCTTTGCTGCCTGTAAGCTCACAGACAGAACCCCCAGAAACAAAATAAAAGCAGAAAATAAAAAAAAACAATAAAAAATATTTAAGCACATAAATCAAATCCAGCAAAAAGGATGTACTGTGGTTTGGCTTTACCATATGGAACAGACATGTATGGATAAAAAAATCCAAAAATGCACTGTGACTACAGATTGGAACAGCTGTCATTTAAAGCGACTGTATTGTATTCCTGTGATTTAGGGTACTGACATTAAAGGTCTTACTGCCTTCCCTGTCTCGCTACGCAAAATGACTCCGGTAACATGGGGCACGATGACTGACACCAAACAAAGGTGAAGAAGGTGGATTAAAAATAATGAAAAATAATAATATCAATAATTTAGCAAATAATGTTATATGAGTACATATGCACTATTATTCATAACGTGAATATGTCTTCCTAAAAGTAATTTTGCAAGATGTATTAACGTCAACGGGAAATTAAAATCAGAAAGTGTTTTTCTCAATTGTTCATGTCCAAAATTGACTTTTAAACCTCTGAACATGCGACCAGTTACAGGCACTGGACGGGATTTCTCTGGATCCATTTGTGTCTAATGAGACAATGGTGACATATAGGAGATGTGTCACATCTGTTTTTTTTTTTTCGAAAGTCAAGCTGAGGTACAGGGCATATAAAATTACTAATTCATGGCTGACCTATTTTAAACATACAGACGCAGGAGGGCCTGAGATCCTAATGAGAGCACACACTGTTCCATCTTTTAGTTACTACTCTTAATTGCACATTCATTTAACCCAGGAAAGGGTGACATTCATTTATAAAGTCCAAGAAAAAAAAGGCAGGCATTAAGGTAATAGTACCTGGGGCTTGACTGGGCACTTTCTCAAATTGTCAAAGCAGAGTCCACAGACATCTGATTATTTTTAAAAAGGTGTATACCATTTGAAAATGATCTAAAAACACAGTCGCTTTAAAGTAGATCCTCTCAAAATTTGCAAAATGAATTTAAGCATAAAGTTTTGGAAGTAAGGCAACCAAAATAAACCACAAAGAAAAATATTATTTTTCCACATTGAATATTATGTTGAAAGTAGGATATATACTCCAAGCACATATATGTTCATTTCATATGGGCAGAGACAGAATTTCCATTGGCGCATGCTGATTGGTGTAGAAGGAGCATGCTCAGTGCAACTATTCCAGCACGTTAACGGCACACACCTGAAGTGGATCTATGAGAGGAACCAATAAAGAGAGCAACAAGAAGCAGGCGAACCCCAATAGACCACTCCCCTACAAGCCGGCCAATCACCTCCCTGGCCGCACCCACAGCAGCAGGGACTGGCTTTGGAGGGGTTTTTGGAGAATGCAGGCAGAGTTCAAGGAAAGCTCAATAGGAATCACGCAGTCTTATCAGGGTTGGTCCGCAGGAGAAGGAAAAAATAAAAAGAATGTAACTTGCATGAAAAGGACCTTTTATTAGATGGCAGGAACCAATCAAGGAGGCAAAAAGGGGGCATCTTTTTGGATGCTCTGGTGTAATGTTATCCAAACGCCTACACTGAGAAGTTGACAAGAAAGAGTATAAATCCTACCAAAGGTCAATATATTCTTATGTAGGAGTACCATTAACAGGAAGTGTATTTTATTGGGGTATCGGCAGAGAGTGATTGGAGTCGTTTTTCATTAAGCCTTCACACCACTTGTAAATCTACCCACAAAGCCACCATTTACAGGTCAAAGACATGAGAAATGTTTTAAAGAGACAATCACTGCCTAGAGGTACAGTGGAGTCCTGACTGTTTGTTCGGTATAGGTTTTATTATGTTTACCGTAGATCTATTGAATTGGAGGTTTACAGATTCTTACAGAAAATAATCACACTGTAATTATAATAAGTGAGTAAAGAAAAATGATGCAATGATGTGCAAGCTCTAAATCTATTGCCTCGAACTATATTTCAGGGCTTGTCCCCAAATGTCCAGGATCATCTTCAGGTTTGTCCGTGACAGATGTTTTTAAAAAGGTCCTTTTTTGCAAATAATAATACTCTCAAGATAACAAAAGCGGGAATCAGCTCCTTACATGAACAATAACATTAGTAAAATCATAACAAAGAGAAAATAACAGAGCTTACAGAAATTGAGAAATACAGAGTACAAAATATTCATACACATTGAATTTCACAAAAATAAAAACACACAAGGTCACATTACAACAGCAAAATAGGGGTCGAAGTTCACGTCTGACCATGGTTCACCAATCAATCATCACTTCAGATTCATTTACAACAGCTATCATCTATCAAAAGACTATCAACCGCCAATCAACTGCACTTAACAGGTTGCCAAAATCATAGAAATGTCTAATAAATATATATAGAAACGACGTCACGTCATGCAACGCAGTCACAGTCCTGCCACATGACGTCATCCAAAACAAAATGACACCATGGGTTCAACTTACAGGTCTGGGAGTTTGTCCCCCATGACAGGTGGCTACACAACAGGGAGGCCATCTTGACCTATGATTGGACCTGCGTGGTTTGCAGGTTGGTTGGGTGCAAGAGAAGAAAAGATGTGGTGGAATTTCTTTTCCTTATGTTGGAAATAGAGTTGACCCCACCCGCCGTCTGTCCTCGGTCCCCATCAGCTCCCATTTGTCTAAAAGTTCGGCTGACAAATATGTGCTGGTTATAACCGTTTAACTGTTAAGTAAAGAAATGATTAGAAGATACAGGGAGTAAGTGCTATTGAATATTTACAGGTCTGCTCTTGCGGTAGTATTTTAAGAATCATTATGAATTATATTTATAAATTGAACAGATGGCAGTAATGGACGAAAAAATGAATAAATTAAAAAGGTAGGTAGCTTGTAATTCCTTTTTCAGACGGCTTTTCTGCTGAAACAACACTCGCTTCCTTTCTACTGTCTTCCGTGACAGTTGTTAATTTTTCAATAATACATGTTTATTAAAATAGCTGGAGTTAGCAGATGGTCCTATCACACTGTAAGAATATAGAGATGAGGACCAAAGAGCACGGACGACCCAGGATGAAAAGGCCATGCCTTGAGAGACCTGTAAATAGTCATGATCAGCTACTAAACACATCACCCTACACCTCCGACCGTTGATAACCTGCAACTCCATCCATTTCCAAGGCCTCATTCCTAACCTCAATCCATATAGATGCACTAGAAAAGTCATGTGACCGTTGTGAGATCCAAGAGCCGTGATACGAAATGTAAGACTTACATCAAGACTTTCTTTAAAATAACGCATGTTTTTTTTTTTGTTTAAAAACATTTTCTCCTTGCAACGTGTCTGTTTTAATATTCCATAGTATTTGCAAGTATTTCATTAGTCGAGTTTTATCTCCTGCAAATTATTCACAATTTAATAACCTTGATAGCTTAATTTTTGCTAAATGTTATGCAACGTTAAAAAAGACACTTGGAAACAACAGACACGAATGTCCTGCAAAGGAAGACCTATAGATTTTGCTTATGGAAAGAGTGATCTTCATAGTCCAGCAAACATTATTTTAAAAACTATACAGCGGAGCCCCCATGGCTACAACAAATACTAATATCATTTTTATGTAACTGTTATAAAATAGCAAATCTATATTTAGGCGCATTTTATCCTGTTACTCTGCAGTTTCTCTCTAGCAAAGTTTGAATTTCCTCTTTCCTCCTCTTGTTCTTTCTGAAATCCTAAAACAATAGCCTACGCTATTTGCATTTTTTTTGATCTTTAGCAAACCTGGACAATGTTATCAAGGGGACTTGTTCTGTCACAGCTGTCCATCTGGCTGAAAGAGTAATATTTGAGTTTGAAATGCCAGCAGCATTCTGAGTAACGATATGCCATCTTCGACGGTTTTCAGCACATTCTCAATTTGTCCCTTGTTAAAACAAGCAAATCAAACTGTCCGGACCATTTTATAAATTCCAAATGAGACATTCTGCCGATGGTCTTTCAATTGGGAATATAGCGATATCTCGCCAGATAATCATAGCTGTATTGATCTTTTGTCTGCCTTGCCATTACCACTTGATAGCCCTAAGATGCATTCACAACGAGGCTACAATCATTCCTTTTGTTCCCTCCGCATATTAACATTTATACCCTGATAATGGCATACCTGTTTTGCTGCCAGATAAATCAGACAATAAATAACGACACAGTTTTAATTAGTCAAAAACCTGTTACTTCTGGTGTGAAGGATGTTGAAGCTCAGTAACAATCTTTCACAGTGCTTGTCCTTTGGTCATATTTTTTTCCTGACCTCTTCATTAATGAACACACCAAAGAATATGGCTGCTGAGGCTGAGACATTGAGATACACAGGGAAATTGGTATAGATGGGTACATTTTTGAGATTCTCAAGTGTCACGCAGTCCCACTGCCCAAGAAGAGTCTGGGGTCCATTTTTCCCGACCGCCCCAGCGAACGTGAATCTGTGTGCCAGCTAGCGCTCAGTGATATCAGCACATGGTACCTGGTGGTGACGGCAGAGCAGTCAGTAAGGTCTGTTGGCGTCTTTCGGCCGCTTCAGCTGCACCTTCAGCCTCTTCATGCCTATCTGGAAGCCGTTCATGGCCTGGATGGCAGCCTGAGCGCTGGACGGGTTGTCGAAGCTGACAAAACCTGGGCGGGCGAGGCCAGCAGGGAGTGAGATCAGCTGGCACTCAGCGATGACTGTGTCGGCATCACGGAAGCGGTTCATTGTCCTCTGAATCGATATTTCATCGTATGAAAATGAATGTAACGAAATTAAAACATATATCTATAAATGGATAAAAGTGGATGAAATGAACCAAAAGTAGATAGCTGACAATATATGCTTGTGTATATGCGGATGTAAAGACAGGGGAGGTCACAGTTCCAGTTAGGCCGTGCCGTGTTCTATGAGTCGGGGTTCCTGGGCACCATGCCCCATACATCGTGAGTTATTACCTGCGTGTCAGGGTGGAATGAGCCCAAAGCTTTCCTCCCTGCGACTCCTGGCTGCTCTTATCTGACACCTCCGTGATTGACGGCTTGAATTTTCCACTTGCCAGCTGATTTGATCGTGCCTCTATGGGTCCAATTTAATTTGGGGGAGAGGGCAGGCTTTTGTCAGCTCCAGAGAGATAAGGCTCATGCTTTTACAAACCCTTTAAACAAAACCGGCAGTTGGGAACCTGTCTAACAGCACCAATTCCCTTCAGATGGGGCTTTAATAAATCTAGCCTTTTCATTTACATTGGCTTCCAAAACCATATCATAGGGGAATAAGGGAAAGTAGGGAATAGAAGAAAAGGAAGCAGCCTCTATCATGTCACTAAAAGTTGATACAAGGTCCTCTGCCATATATAACAGTCAATGCGGATGAAATAGTTATTTTTCTATGGATTCAATGGAATTCCGTTTGGACTTAAAGACCTTCCAGTGCATGGTTCTACAACAGCAAGGGTCTCAATCTGCCTTTGTTGAAACAAAATATCTATGTATTATATACTAATTCATTATGTATTACACACTCATTAATTAAATTTGCTTCTGGATTAATTAAAATATGACCTTTAATATTTGTATAAGTTTCACATCAATTACTCTCTAAAAAACAGTACATAATAAGGATTTCAAAAAATATTTTGCATCATTATTTACAGCACTTAAGGCTACTAAATTCAGCACAAGCTGCTTTATGCTGCCCAGCTAACAGATGTTTAAAAATAGATTTAAAAATTACTTTATAAACTGTTTTGTATTTAAGTATTTTTCCACACACTGCTCTTCCCATTATGTTAGTCCCAGATTACTAAAATTATAAAAATGTTGTAACAGCGTTAGCTAGTAGATAAAACAATTAATGGTACTGTAGCATTAAAATAAATTTAAAAACAGTATCACACATTTTTCAATGCAAATGTGGGAAAGCAAATTGGGTAGAACAGACAAAGCTCACAAATTGGTCCAGAAGAACAAAAGACACCCCTTGGGGCCGTAGAACTGACAATCCATACCCCCAAACCCAAGCAAGCAAACCTTATGCAATTATAATATAATTATATATGAAAATTAAACGTCAGAGCTGAGGCATTTAACGTATAATTCAACAATACAAATTCCCGTGAATCTCTTTTTGTTTTTATTCATACTACAAGACCATTCGGGGTCATCATTAATTATATTTAACAATAGCCTGGCACAAGGGCAAGAACTTATATGGAAAGTGAAATTTCTCTCAGACAAGAGAGATATTTTTGAAAAGAGAGAAATCATAATTGTGATGCCTGCATTATTGTATGTTTGTTACTTTAATACTGCCCCTATTTTTTATTTTTACAATTTAAACAACCGAATTACACAGTGACACGCAATGATACGGAAACACGCTGAAGGCTAACGAAAGTCGTTAACAGTAACCAATGATCAGATGTATTTCAGTAGTACTACAGCCCTCCTATCTTCACTGAGCAGGAAAATTAGTTTAACATGACATTTCTTTTTCATCTCCTTACGCCAGCCTACTTCTAAATTATGACTAATGCCGATGCTTACAAATATAACAACCATTTTCATAAAATACGTACAAGTATATAAATTATGTATTTGAAAATGTTTTTTTTAATCGCCTGTTTGATGGCCGTGTTCATTATTTGCGACCCATAATATATTTGAACCTGCATCTTCATTATGTCTTGAAACTGCTCTCGAGCTGTTTAGTCATTGGTAATTGATTTTTTGTGTTCTTCAAAATGTGGTTCTAATAAAATGTATTTATTTTTCAAGCACGTTTCCATAAGAACCATATTTTATTTCTTAGACTGTAAACAACTATGCAAGGTGTTAAGCTGGTAAAATGTAAATTTTCTGTTACAGTTTCCATGCTAGACTGTAACACTCCATGCACTCCATGCTTCTGTAACACTCTTAATAACAGTAACTTTTATATATTTACACACTCATTGCAAGGAAGACTGAGCTGGATTATTTTATCAGTCACATGAGTCCCGATCTGTACATTACAGTCCTGCACAGTGCTAACACCTTACATTCAGGTTGACAATTTGGAGTCATTATGACATAAAAGTTAGGCTGTTTCTCATTCCAAGCCGACTCATTCCACCACGGTGACAAGAACAAGCTGATAGATGTCAAGATACTGAACTGGAGCGGAGCTGCTTCCACTGTTACAGTGATGATTTATTAATGGAGGAAACAAGCGACGTGAAAGAGAACACATCCTAGAGAGTCCCGCAGAAGAGGACACATCCTAGAGAGTCCCACAGAAGAGAACACATCCTAGAGTCCCAAAGAAGAGAACACATCCTAGTGAGTCCCACAGAAGAGGACACATCCTAGAGAGTCCCACAAAAGAGAACACATCCTAGTGAGTCCCACAGAAGAGAACACATCCTAGAGAGTCCCACAAAAGAGGACATATCCTAGAGTCCGACAGAAGAGAACACATCCTAGAGAGTACCACAGAAGAGGACACATCCTAGAGAGTCCCACAGAAGAGAACACATCCTAGAGTCCCAAAGAAGAGAACACATCCTAGAGAGTCCCACAGAAGAGAACACATCCTAGAGAGTCCCACAGAAGAGAACACATCCTAGAGAGTCCCACAGAAGAGGACACATCCTAGAGAGTCCTACAGAATAGGACACATCCTAGAGAGTCCCAGAAGAGGACACATCCTAGAGAGTCCCACAGAAGAGGACACATCCCAGAGAGTCCCACAGAAGAGAACACATCCTAGAGAGTCCCACAGAAGGGAACACATCCTAGAGTCCCAAAGAAGAGAACACATCCTAGAGAGTCCTGCAAAAGAGGACACATCCTAGAGTCCGACAGAAGAGAACACATCCTAGAGAGTACCACAGAAGAGGACACATCCTAGACAGTCCCACAGAAGGGGACACATCCTAGAGAGTCCCACAGAAGAGGACACATCCTAGACAGTCCCACAGAAGAGGACACATCCTAGACAGTCCCACAGAAGAGGACACATCCTAGAGAGTCCCAAAGAAGAGAATACATCCTAGAGTCCCACAGAAGGGGACACATCCTAGAGAGTCCCACAGAAGAGACCATGTGCTATTGATTGTAAACAATAATGTTTTTTGTTTCATTTAACTCCACTTGTTATGATAAATTTCTAATGTCAGTATAAAATATATTTCGGAAAATAAAAATATTTTGATAACCCAAATTAACCCAATGTATGCTGCTAAAATGCCATATCTTCTATGTGACTAAATCATTTATGGTTTTGAGTGTTTCCTAATCTTCGGAGATGTTTTTTTTTCCCTGCTGCATACTTTCCCTTCAAAGCAGCGGTTAAACTAACATTTGGAAAAGCAGTGACTTTAGAAAGTAAACCTTTCCTCCAAGAGGAGTTTTTTAAGCTTCTAGAAACATCCATCAGATAAGGAATGTCACTCGTCCCCAGCTCCCACGCGACCACTTCTGCTACGTTAATCCTTGCTAATCATCACCGACTCCCAAGTGTTGCCCAGATAACATGAAAGTGCAGATGCTATCGGTTTAATTTGCTGGTAAGGAAATGCATTAGCAGTTATTCATATGTATTCCTTACACCTCTTTAACCAAAATATCAACTAAAGTAAAATACAGTGTTTATTGGCATTTGAAAGAAAATTATGCACCAAATTAATTGTTTCCACTGAGTCTGAGGAACAATTTGCAAAAACATGTACATGGACTTTCAGCTAAAATGTGGTTTAAGCTTATTATGGTTTGCATCTCAGCAAATAGCACTGTTGTCTCTCACCTCCAGGGTTTAGGTTCAAATCCCACTTTGCCCTGTATATGTGGGGTTGGTGACTTAGGTTAACTGGTGTCTCTGATTTGCCTGTAGATTATGACTGTTTGCGTGTGGCCATTTATATTCCATTATGGGGAGCAGATTTCCCCACAATGCGATAAAAACCTGTTGTTTTTACTTTGTGGGGACATTTTTCTTGCTCTCCACAAGGGGAAAGTCATTTTTATAGAAATGCGTGAAATTAAAAACTAAAAATGTCAAAAGTCTTGTAGTTTGTTTAGTTACCTATGTTTAAGGCTAAGGCTGGGTAGGGGTTAAGGTTGTCATAGCTGGGATTAGGGTAGTACCCATAGAAATGAATGAAGAGTCCGACACCTAATCAGTGTGTGTCTGAGAGAATGTGCCTTGTGATGGACAAGCATCCTAGCCTTCCTGCTTTATGTTGCCTGGGAAAGGCTCCAGGACCCCAAAATAAGCATTTGGAATATGAATGGATGTGGATGGATGGATGAATGGATGTTAAAATTAAAATCAAAGTAATATTTAAAAATGGACTAGGTACTATCCTTTTCAGTGTTTAAAATAGGAAATTAAATTAAATTTAAAAAAAAAAAAAAAACATTCCCCTCCGAGACAGGAGGTAAGTTGAATTCTTTGTCAAATGAAAACATTTGAAATAGGCATTGTCACTTGATGACAAGTCTTGACTTTTCTGCCGTCTTACCAAAACATTTGCTCTGATTGGTGGCCCGGTCTACAAAGACTTTGGCAGAGATGACACTGCCGAACGGCAGGAACATCTGCGTGAGCTCGGCATCTCCGAACTCCTGGGGCAGATGGTAAATAAACAGGTTGCAGCCTTCTGGCCCTGGAACAGGGAAAAGGGGCTTTTATTGGGTGAACAACCAAGCACACGCAAAGTTTCCATGTGGACAAGACAACAGTGCCAGTATCTTGGGGTGTATGACTGCCCTGAAATAAAATCATCAAGGTCCACACCACTGCACAGGAGGAAATTGATTAGCGAAGTGCAACACAACCTTATTTTATTGCTTTATTATATGTAACTCTTAATTTCTGCATAAGTTGTACATTGTCGTGCTTTAAACTGGTTGTTGTCCTTCCTGCCAACTAGATTACACATTACATAAGACAGGAACATTGCAATTATCACCTTTTTGTTTAGAGAGGCAGGGAACTTACCTTCCCTCTGCTGCTGGGGGATGATGGCTGGTTGCTGCGGGAACGCTTGGCTGATTGGTGCATAGGCAGCGGGGTAGGCTGCTGTTGCAAGGAAAAAGTGAAAAGAGAAGCTTAAATTTACCCTTCCCTATTTCACACTTTCCCAGGTTCACAAAAAACTCAACCTTATGTTTTCCTTACTCAAGCTAGCAAAAAAAAAAGCCGTACAGTGTAACCGAAACATGTCTTGTCTTGTTAGCCATTTTTTCACAACGCAAGAAATAAAAATTCGGTTACCGCGATGATTTACTAACATTAATATGGATTGAGCTGAATTCAATTGATGTTGATGGGCCTTAAAAGAACACTTTGTTCGATTTCTTACTTGAGCTATATCGCTCCAATCGCAATTAGAAAGCCCACCCTCCTATCTGAGAAGGCTTAAGGATGCTGGGTGGATACAGGAGTATCATTATGACTCGGTCACATGTAGTGTCTCAGATTTACTTTTGCGGTGAGGAGCTAATACCAGGTGAGCTGACTTGCCTGGTGTTTATCAGGCTTTACATATGTGTGAAGTGCAATGGGCTACACAATGCAACTGAGCGGATTTCGAGACCTGCGTAATGCTGTACTCCTGCATAGGCCTGCTGGAGGGGGTCAGCCACTGTAGGACTTTGTGCTGTGGAAAGTGCACAGGAAGCAGGGGCAAAAGAGAGGAGATTAAAAAGAACAAGACCTGCTTATAATCTTAGTGTGGATCAAGGTTTTATGAAAGGCACAAGAACATCCTTAATAAAGGACTGCGATCGTTGCAAGTGCCTAGCACGATCCTGGAATTACATCTCTACAGGAGGTAAAGCAAAATGTAGCTGCCTCACCAGGGTAGGGGTGGATCCCGTTACTGAATATGGGCTCTGATGCCGGCTGGCCATTGGTCTGCGGCGGCAGGGCGCTGAAGCCGTTGACCCCGATGGGAGTGGCTATGCTAGGCACGGCTGTGGCGTTGATGCCTGGTGGGGTGCTGGTGCCTAAAAAAGAAAGGGTTGTATCATTAATGCCAAGAGGGGAGTTTGGTAGCAAGCAAAAATGTGGACTGTCTGGCAGGGAGTTAGCTGGGAGCCAAAACACTTTCTGGGGGTCTCTGATGACCGGGATGAGAAACACTGCAATTGAAGACAGGGGTCACATTCTGTTGTTCGCCACGCCATTAAATCGTAAGGTTTGTAACCCCACCAACGCCGTACCTTGATAAGCAATATGAATTTTTCCCCGCTGTGAAGGGTATTTAAGTTGTAAATTGTACATTCATTACTTTAAAATGCCAACATTATATGGATATAAAATGTACCATTCACAGACTGGTGGAGACATTTCATTTAATGAATGTGTCCTGAAGCAGTTAGTGCCCCGACAGATCGACAGCCACTTATCACAGCGATGGAGGCCAGGCAGCAGGCAAGGAGGAGGCCGGGGTCCATCTTTAACAAAATCCTGCGCCATTCTTGGAAAGATGATGACATTCTCCCTCAAGGTCAACAGATTGGCTTCAGGTCCACTGAACACCGAATCAACAGTTTGGGCTGTGTGACGTAGCGAGGAAAGATCTCCTAAAAATGTTCAAGCCAAGTTCCTGTGCAATCAACGTCTGTTCTTACTGTGGACCTCACAGCAGGAAAACACAGTCAACAATCCTATCTTCATGAGTGCTTTGACTGTCTTGGTGTACAGAAGCGAGACGTTGACCCTCGGGGGCTCATTTTCTGTCTGACCATTCTTGGGGGCAAAATAGCAGGACAAAGGTCTCATCACTCCTCGGTCCCGAAAGCGAGGCTTGTCTCCGGCCTTGTTTATTTCCTCCATATTTGGCACTCTGTGACCTTTTACCTGGGCTGGCGTGACAAACGAGACAGACGCGACAGCACCGGCGTCATCAGTGAACTGGGCCGCCAGTGGCAATTAGTGGGTTTCTCAGCTACTGTCTGTCGCTCTCCCACCGTGAGGAAACTCCCTGACCACCCAAAAGCCCCCATCCTACTTCTCTGACATCCGAGCCACTGTGGCTTTGTCCCGTTTTCCACGGCACTTTCCAGAAGCAGCGCTGAAATACAGGGTTAAACTGTCGGAGGGGCGGGACAGACATGGCGTACCTGAAGAAGGCGTCATGGGGGCAGCCACGAGGCCGTTAACGTTGAAAGTCGCCATTTGCTGCATCTGCGCGGCGGCGATGGCGGCCATGGGGTTCATGTAGGTTCCCTGGGCGGCCGCCATGAGAGCCGCCTGCTGCTGCATCATCTGCTGCAAGATCCAGAAGAAGTGCATCATAAGTGTGACAACATGGCTCATGTAATACCTCCAGTGAAATCACAAAGGCATCGGAACAGTCCGGAATACCCAGAAACACTCCCCTGCTAATTTAGGCTCATTCAGACGTGTGCCTAGTATAGCCCAATCCAAGTTCCTCAAGTTCGGCATGTCGGACGTGTACACTAATGGAAACATGGCTTACAAAGCTGAGGAGACCCCATCAGTACGTGAGGAGCATCCCCTTCAATCTTTGGATTTGTAGAAGGATGTCAAAGACACCCAATGTGAACAAGATGCCAAGAGTTTGTTAAGATAACTTTGTGTTCCTGCACTAATTCCCTTTCTTTTTAGGATTCTGCTCATTACTGCCAGGCTGATTAGCAAGCTGACATACAAAGAAAACCTTCTTTGAAAAGCAAGTTTGTCTAGAACTGAAAGATATGATTCTCTTCATCTTTTAATACGCAAACCCACCATGATATTAAGTCTACATGTGCTTCATAGGAGACATTTATAACAAGAGTCCCATCCTCCAATATTCGTATAACGTCTGTTCATTTGGTCGATGCTTAAGGCCAACAGACGCGGAGAGCTCCAGGACCAGACCTGCCCACCCCTGACTTACAGCATGAGTGTAGGCCCCGTAAGCTCCAAACTGCACAGTCATGGGGCTGAAGATGCCAAGCTGACCGGCCATCTGGTGCATCCTGCGCAGAGTTCGCTCCTTATCCGTGTCCGCGAACTTAACGACCAGGCTGGATGAGGCCCCCTGGAGGGAGACACACACAGCATGGTGACCGATGAGTCTGCACACATCAAGAAGAGTGGAGAAGAGCCATCATCCTATGGTGGCAGTGGACCTCTAGCACTGAAACGACACATATGTAAGGTCACAGAAACTGAAGCTGATGCACGTATGTTCACTAACTGTGGTTATTAATGGCCAGAATAAGTGAAGTAAATAGGTAAAAAGTCACATGACAGAAATGGACACACTTGCTGTTAATGCATTTGTCTCTATTTTAGCTGTGTTGCTCACCTTATAGTGAAAGACCTTGAGGCAGTGAAGTAATGCATATCAAATTCTGAAATGACCAAGGGAAGTGCTCAACATCTCAAAATTTTCTCAAATTTGAGACCCTTCAAAACAGCCTCCTTCTGCTACAATGACAGCATCACAGACTCTTGGCATTCCTTCAACCAGTGTCCAGCAGACACCTGGAATGCTTCTCCAACAGTCCTGAAGGAGTTTCCACAATACAGTACACAACCTCGAGGGTTGTTATCTTGTTCAAAAACAAATGATTTTCAATAGGTGTGTCCAGACTTTTGACTGGTACAGTAAATGAACTAAATAAAGCATCTATCTCTGTACTTTTTATCAGATGCTGCACTCCACCTGTTGGTTACAATGCAAAGCCCTGTGCACCTCAGATCATACTAGAATCCTCTTGCTTCCTTCTGACGTTCTGTAGAATACAAAAGACCATCATTTTTTTTCCACCAAAAATGTTTGCTTTTTCTCTACTGCGCCACATTGACAAATGGCTTGCCACCTCGTGTGTGATATGGTCTATTGATATTGTTCTCATATTGTATTGTATTGATTCTGTGCTCCTAAAACGCCATGTAATTGAATCATTGACCGAACAAAGCAAGAACAGAGACTAATATACAAAGTAAAGCAAAACTATGGATGTCTGCAGAAATAATGACAACTAACCACAGATTAATCCTTCCCAATATGATTTTGTGCTGAATTCTAAGGTCAACACAAGCAGTGGTGCCCGTGTGACCGGTTTTCCTCAGAGAGACTTTTACACTCCACTGGATGCTCTTCTGTAGCCCTATACAATGTTAGAGCGGAATTTCTATTGGCGACAGAACAACACAAAGAGGAACAGCCACTCCCTTAAGCACGTACAGCTCAAGATTAAAAACAAAGATGGCAAAACTTTTTAAATTCCAATGCAAACAGGATACTGAAATACACCGTAAGCGGAATTAAAAACGGTACTCTGCAATTTGTAGTGTCTGTGCCAGGAGATGGTCAGTAAACCTTCACTTTTAAGCCTTCGGAATTGTTTCCGAATAAAGAAACGCAAAACTCTGCAAAAAAAAAAAAAACATTCAGCTTTTGTATCTAAACAGTTTTATCTCCATTCTTACCTCTTTGCTATAACATCTATAAAGTTTTGACTCACCATTGCCTTTATGTTCGGGCGTTTTGCTACACTTACTATTAACCTCACAATTTATGATCTGCTGGCATCAAGCCGTCCAAAGGTTCTGAATAAAATATGAAGCATTTTAGAGAGGGCCTGTGGTTGTCAGCGTGCGATGCATGGAGAAAATAATGCGTACAGTCAAGTATAAAAATTCAAATGAACACCTTCACTTGCGTACCTATAAAATTAAATCGCAGCAACGCGGCAGGCCTTCGCTTCAATAACAAATAATTTGTTAACATCAGGTACACCTCCCCCATACTGCTTTAAATAATGATTCTATCTGCGGTTGTTTCAACAAGTAAATAGCAGGAGAGGCGCAAACAGATGTCAGTCGTGAGGGCTGATGACAGAGGCGCGTCACGTACATACAGTGTGACGGCCGGTCCCAGCTTCCCCGCCGGCGCGTCACTTTTGACAAGAATCTCTGTCACGGGAATCACTTTTCTACAGGTGTCTGGCATTTCTGCTCATGTGCTTCTCCCTCCCGCGACACAAAGCACTGCGGCCCGTTCGGTCTGTCATGCTAATAATAATGTTAATAATGAATAAAATAATGTGACATTGAAATTCGGCAGGAAGGGGATTCTAATGACACTGAACAGTTAAATTTACTTTTACATTTATTCTATATAAATATATGTGCTACATGTGATACAATTAACAATTTTATTCTTTAAAAAAAAAAAACTGGTAACAGCTCATTTTAAACAACTGACACAAGGATAACACGCAATTTTCCTTTGTGTTTTTAACATGTATTTAAGTAATCAATACCATTATTTTCATAGGAATGTCTTATTTTCACGGCAGCTCCGAGGGAAGCGACAGATGTGTACTGTACGGACCGACAGCACACATCTGCTCTTTTTTTCAGGTCTGAAGTGCGCGGGACAGATTTCTCTGCGCTTTATGAATTTAAATGTGGTGCGGCGGTCAGGCTAAGCCATCGGAGCCCGGATGGCTCGTTTAAAACGCTCTCCTGTAGCCACCCTCCCTCCTGACAGTGTCATCAGCTGAACTTCACAGCCAGCGTGGTGGAGAATGGGCTCCATATTTATTCAGGTCTGCGGAGCCTTCGTGACCTCAGGCCTTTGCCAAGGTCTACCTTTAATTAGCTGAATCAATACTCCCAAGCCGTCTTAAAGTAGCTATTTTTTTTTTCTTGTTTTGTCCTTTTGTTATTTTATTCTTTCCAAACGCCCGACCTTTCCCTGCTCCTCTCCCCCATCAGCTTCCCAGGGTCAGCAGAAGAAGCGGGCGGCTACTTTTAATGAGGCGTTTGCTGAGCAAACAGCTTCCTCCAGCAGTGGCATCCCAGAATACCTGGCATTTACATCACATTCGGTTTCTGTTTAATTTTACTTATTTATCATTCAGAGGAATATATTAGCTGGACAGATCCGCAAACCTGACTGCGCAACTGAGAACATGACACACAAAAAAAAATTAAAACACAGCCAAGGCTGATGGCCCTGGGTGAATATTTGGTTATGCACCTTATTGACCCTAATCCCACTGCTGACCCTCAGGCGAGATGCACTCTCTGTATGTACAATGTCATTTGAGGGTCTCCTCTTTATTCCTGCAGCTTGTTATCAATATATCTGTGGCCTCAAGACCGGTCCAATTCCAAGATGTTACAGACCTTTTCAATTAATAAAGAGGACGTGTTACAAAACATACTTACATGGAGAAGCGAAAAAATTTGTTTTAAGCTGTCAGTCAAAGAAAGTCAAAGTCGACATGCATTTTTCGAGCCTCTTTGTCCCACTGTGCCTCATTTGCAAAAAGAAACAATCAGCCAATGAGAAATAAAATGCACAAGGTTATGTTAAAAAGAGGCAGAAAGTTTTCTTAAGTGCACTGTGAGGAGAATAAATAAATAAGTAAATGCAGCTGAATCTCTGAAGGCTCCAGCTTCGACATGAATTCAAACATGAATTTGGTCTAAACAAATGGCAAACACTGCTGTCTCCATGGCCAAGAGAAAAAATAATAAAAAAAAACATGCAGATTTGGCAACTGCAGAAGCTAAAGTATTGATGAGCACCATCTTTACGTTTCTGTGGGTAATATTTACCCGTTAACCAGGAAGGAACCAGGTGGTGATGTATTAAAAAATGCTTCATTAAAATAACCAACAATATATAACTAAAATTAATCCAAGAGATTATACCTTTAACAATATTTTGGCCATGTGTTCTATTTAGCATAAGAAAATAAATGTGTAGTTTTCTCTGGCACTGCTAAACATGAATTTTTCAGGGGCACATAAGGCCATTGGTACAGTATGGGAGCATTGCCCCTATCCTCCCAGTGTGGGGGCCCCCAGGGGAGAAAAATGGCTCATTATCACAGCTGTCTCCTATTGCCGGGTGTGCGCTTAATCCCTCGAGTGCGGGGTGTTGACTTTCCATTCCAGCCCAACATACAAACACATGCATGCAGAGTAAATCAGCCGACACACACACCACGAGGAAGCACTCACTGTCCACTTATGGATGATCTCTTTATCAATAATTCCCCTGGGAGCATGGCGGCTGTGTCCCCCCCCCGCCCCCAGACAGGACCCTCCAGGGGGACGACACAGAGCTGTGTGAGGTTGTGGTAGAGGTCCAAAGAATGGTCTGCCCTGTCAACAACGCTAAATCCAAAGTTTGGAAGATTTTCTTGCTCGTTAGTCTTGTTTCCCCTTTCATTACGGTACTGGCTATGTAAGGAGAGCTGGGAAACCACTGCCACTCTGTCGCAGCCGCAATCTTGCTACTAAGAGCTGGGGAGGGGGGTGCACAATTTTATGGTACACGACATAACAATAGGAATCTCTTTTACCGCTGATCCGCTATGACGGATGGATACGATGCCCAGAATGCATCATCCATCCATCCATCCATCCATCCATCCATCCGTTTTCCAGCCACCTATTCTGGTCAGGGTCATGGGGGGGGGGAGGTTGGGAGCTGGAACCTATCCCAGGCAGCATTGGTCACCAGGCTGGGGTGCACCCAGGATGAGATGCCAGTCCATCGCTGGGCACACACATGTGCTAACTGACTACTGGAGGAAACCATGTGACACAGGCAGAGCAAACTCTGCACACACGAAGCAGAGGTGAGATTCAAATCGCCAGCCACCACATGCTAACCACTGTGCCCTCCACCCAACTGCGGCCAGAATCGCTGGGTCTCCATTCTGTTAGCAAAGTGTTTGCCTAATGACACACTGCCTGGCCAGATTGTAGGCTTCATACAGAACGATGAAACTGGGCCAATATATGAAATGCATTGACAAAATCTCATTATCGATGGACGGTGTCTCTCAATGCATCAGGTAACTAATTTGCCTTTTCCTTTTTTTGTGCTCTTTTCATTTTTCATTTCTGGTATTTGGACTGAAGTTCTAATCGGTGTTATTTACATGTATGCCTGTATGGTGACACTCTGCTGCTCTGCAGGAGGAAAATGAACATTAGCCTTCCCCAGGGATGCCGTCAAGCACAGAACACCCATCTCCCGGCTCATTGATGTGCCTGCGGTGTTGTCCAAAGTAGCCTGGCCATTGATAATATTAAAACGCTTGTTATATAATTATCCGTAGCCAACTTGTCTAATAGCAGCCCTGGATTTCAAAGAGCATCGTTTACCAGCAGACCTTTGCGTGGCTTTCAGATTCTCTGACAGTCGTTTTGTGGTGTCAGATATGGACTGCATTCATTTGGCCAGCTTGACTTCAGCTTTCACTTAAATCATTCCAGTTCTGCCCTCTTACCAAACAAAATCAGCTAACAGAATCTGTCAGTGTCCCTCAGTCAGGGCTCGGTCAATTAAGTCTGCTGACCTTTGCCTAAAAGAGGGCCAACAAAGCATCATAAAAAGCCCTCAGTTCTCTGTTTCTCTTGGTGTTTTCTAGCCAGCGGAACTGGTGACGTCGGCACTCACCGGCATGGTCTGTCCACCGTGCAGGGTGTTGATGGCTGCCTGCGCTTCCGCGTGGCTCGAGAACTTAACAAAGGCACAGCCTGCACACAAACAGACAGTCGGGGAAGGTGAGTGAGGGTCACCGATCGCCTGTCTGACCTAAAACAAGATAAACATGTTTATTACCTTTAAATAATTTTTAAAATATTCCAAATGAGATGGATTTCCATCTGAATAGCTACTCACAGTGTAGTCATGCGTAACCTATGAGCAAATTCCCCAGACACCCATGAATGCATTAACCGCACAATACATACTCCCCTTCGTTCATTTGTGAATCTTTCCAAAGTAATTAAAACAGAAGTTTGCCTGTGATTATTAATCTGTTTAATATTTACACACAGTGGTGGCTTCGCAAGAGGTTAAAACAACAATAGTAAAGCAATCTGTTATGATAATCCAAATACAGAGAACCCAACTCAATTAAAATAAGATAAATGCACGGCTTAAGCAATATTTTTCAAAATAAATTGATTTTTTTTTTTGCATTTCAATAATGCATTTTAATACATGGCATATATGCACAGAATCTTACCATCGTAAAAAACATCGAATGAGGTATAAGAACAATAAACCAAAATGCACGTACAGACCATTCTGTTATAGCAGTACACACCTGGAGTCCCTCCATTTAGGTTTTCATACCAGAAAAGACCATTAAAAAAACAGCTATAGCATGTGTATTTTATAATACAATTCCCTTTATATGATTTATTGTTAAATCCTGCAGACTCACATTGGCTCTTTCACTACGTCGGATACCAACAGAGCTTACAAAATAAAGACTAGAATATATCGTATTGTTCATGACTTGAAGGGGAAACCTTGTACTCCGTTCCAAATGCAATGTATAAAATCTCAGCATAATCATCTCTCTGAGATCTATGTACATGCTGGGTGATATTTCAATCCATAGTTGTGCACTTAATTATCTGTAATATAGGCCTATATATATAGCATTGAATTTTATTACCTTTAAACGTGGAAAAACTAAGTTAAATAAATAAAATGAAATATATGTGCAACTCAACAGTGTAACTGTATATGAGTACATGTGCAGTGTTTTGCAGTGTATGATGGACGATCTATGCAGTTGTGCAGGATGTCCGAAAAATGTCGTTGTTGTCGCTGTTCTGTGCTGCTGTTCTGAGACGTAAACCGATAACATCTGTGGCAAAATTTCCAGCGAAACGTTAAAAAAAAAAACCGAACAGGCATATGGCACATCACCGAATCTGACCGCTTCTTCGTGTGTCTTCGCTAACAGCTCCTCCTTTGATACCCCGAGGAGGAGGAGGGGAGGGGGGAGGGGTGGGTGGTGGTGTTGTCAGTTCTAATTGGACACACATGACTAAAGAAGAGAGGATGTTTCTGTATGTGTTCTGTCCTGTCAGGTACTAGATGGAATGTAGTGGACTTTAAATCACGGTGGAAGACATGGGACAATATAATCTTATTCTTCTCAGAGCATGTAAAAAACAGGACAGCTGGGAGCAAAAGCTTGTATAAAGGTGTCTGCCTCAGAATTAAGCATCTTAACAATGAAAATCAATAATCTAAAGGTGTATTCTGTGATTGGCATTTAGATAGTTTTACTGATTCAAGGAGAAGAGAGTGACCTGTGGCCGTGTAGCCAGCGAACTGCCTGCTGAACCCGCACTGGACTGGAAACGCCGCGGACGTCCGTATCATTAACAGGCTCGGACACCCAAAACCTGCCACTCTATGAACTCTAGTCGGTTGAGCTAATAAGCATTAAACAGACTTCCACAGATCGCGGGAAGCCTTAAACATAGTTCGAGTGTAGATTTAAAAAGGGGGTAGCTTTAATTCTGCAAATACCGTGAATTACAGTGTAACGTTTTGGACACATAAAATCTCATTACTTATTTACACACATGAAGAATGCGATCTTTTAATTACCAGTGGCTATAGGGATCTCACTTTATTTGCATGCTGACATTCTTTGTATTATTTCGTTGCTCAGCAGACACATTTATTTAAATTAACTTGACTGAGCATTTGTTTTTTTTTTTTTAAAAAAAAAAAAAAACGATTACCGATTCGAACAGCTGTATATTTGCTAAAGGACGCAATTAATCTGGCTAAGCAGTCTCTGAAAGCAGCGGCGAGTGAAAAATAAATGCCCGCCCAAACCTCGGGAAGCACGGCAATGTGCTGGGAGCGGAGAGAGGAGAGCCAGAGCACGTGTGACGCGTGACACGTGGGTTCAAGGGGAGGGGCAGCAGTCGCACACGGCACAGGCGTGTCAGAGCAGCGCTTAAAGAAATCACAGGCTTACTTCCTTCTGTCTTCTAAAATCCCTTTGAACCCACAAAACATGTGTGGCTCTGCCCCTACGGGTGACGCCTTTAAAACACGCTTTTTTCTCACGGGTCGTCGCCCTGTTCATCTCGGATGGCAAACATTGCGTTTGGACCCGAGGAATTAAATTCGTACACATTTTTATTAGATAAGCGGAGCAAGAGGAGTGTGTAGTGCTCTACAGTTGAAAACCACCTCTGACAGCTTGCTGATGAGGTACGATTTGCAGCGTCAGTTCCAGTTGTGTTGTGTGAATGTTTCCCCACAGCTGTACTCAGCTGTAATTGTCAGATTGCTGATGGCAGGTTTATATTATAATCAGGATCTAGGCTGGACCAGCAGAGAGCACTAGTGAAATGACCGTGTATATGAACATGTCTGCTAACGTGGGTGTGGAGTGCGGCTCAGTGGGTTACATGGTTTAGCCAGTGTCCAGTAGGATGTAGGTTCAAATCCTATGTTCAGCTAAGTGATTCACCATTGGTCCCTCAAGCAGGACCCTTATGCCCCATTTGCTTGTGTCTAAGCCAGTTTTCACAGTGCACATCACTTTGCATCTGCTCAATAAATAAAATGTAATGTCTACTAAATTTAGCAAACATAAACTGAAGGCTTTGACGTAGTTTTTCTGTCTTGTCAACATGTGGAGTAGTGAGTGATGACGGGACTGGGCTACCTGACGTCAGAGTTCCCGTATGAGTCGTGTGTGCCGATGGACAGAGCGAAGGGATGAATGGGCGTACACTATGGGGAGGGCAGTGAGTGCACGCCTCGTTCGTGGGGGTGGGAGGGGGTGATGCAGCCTGCGGCTCATCGCGTTTTATCATCTGTCAGACGACGGCAGTGGACAGAAAGCCTGGTGGTTATACAGGCGATGCTGGGGAACTGGCTTGGAATGAATAGGAAATGCACTGGCCGTGCGTCGCCGGGCGGATTCCACATCCTGCTGGACGCTTTTCCTGTTCCCATTCCTCGGCCGCAGTGCCCATGAATATTACACAACTAACTACTCCCCACATCCTGTGCTGGAACACTCGTGCACTTATTCAAAGACAGAAAGATGCAAACAAAAAGGGACAGAATAGATGGTCGAGGGAAAAACCCTGACTCTGCTTGAGGAAGCGAGCTGTACCTTGAAGCGGATGGTGGTGCAAAACTATGGACCCCAAATGACTACTGTTGAGGTCGAATTTAGATTTTTTTTCCCATCACAGAATCCATATACAGTAGAGCCACGCATTCGTTTGGTGCTATATGAATAATTAAACAGGGACGGGTAGACAATATCTGAGCGGTAAGCTTGATTCTGAAGCCTCTTTTGCCCCATCCCCATCCCTTCTGCCATATATACACATGCTTTTCGCTGGTGTTTTGTGCTTCCTGTGGCTAAGCATAGGCTGGGAGGAGGTGGGGGGGATTGCTGTGCGAGTGCGAGGGGGGTCACGGTGGGACAGGGAGATGACGGCTGGAGTGTCACCGCTGACCCTTACTGGCCCCATCAGGACCTCGGAGGATGGTGCACTCCTCGATCTGGCCGAAGGTCTCGAAGAGCCGCCGCACGTCCTCCTCGCCCTGCTGCTTTCCCAGCATGCCCACAAACAGCTTCCTGTCTTCTGGAAGGAAATGGAGAGAAGGCCGACATCACTTCCTCATCAGCTAGATGCCCCGTTTCACATTTTTGCATCTGTTTGCATATTATAATTGCACACCGCATGTGATGTATGTTATGTATTACATGTACAGATGTATGTTGTCTATACAATTACTGTGTCAACTTCATGGTTGCAGATGGCTTTGGTAGTGATGAGTCATTGCTATGGATATTAAACAACATTGAGAAAATACAGGTTAATGTGATTAGCTCTCATTGTAGTTCTGTTGCTGCTACATTATTTTGCTACATTAAAAAACCTTCAAAATTCTACCAATAAAGATATATGCATGCAGGGTTACCAATCTTGGTCAGCTGTCTGGAGTGACATTTTCAATGTGAAACAAGTCTGTGCATGCATTTACATATATGTAACAGTTTTATTACCTTGAAAACAGTCTGTAGGGAAACAAACTGCCCTGACACATTCAATGTAGCTAATTATAGGTTTGTAATGGAATAATATAGATTTACCATAAGATCTCCTTCCTGAATGAGAGTCTGAAAGCGTGAGTGTCATGCCAGTTGCATGGGATTTGGCAGTCCTATGACTTTCTGTATTGCACTACTTGAATAACTACAGTATTAATTACATACCTCAAACTTTCTTCCTCTGTTATGCAACTTTCTGTTAGTATTTATTCTCTGCCTGTGTTATGCCCTAATTGTTAGTTGTCAATTGTCATGGTGTTTCCAAAACTAGCAACTGAGCCAACAAAAGTTTCCATCGTGGTTGTGTGCCAATAAAGATTCTGATTTTATGCAGCTGGTCAGCTCCTCTGATCAATGCTTACAACATTTAAGTCCCCTTACTATTTAAAAACCAGAGCCCTTAAACTTGCATCCCTTTCTGTATCCTGTGTGATTAAGACACGCCATAGAGTGAGGCGTTGGTGAAGAGGGTGGATTCTGAGAACCTTAACTGGACTGCAGGGATGTTACTGTATCTGTCTTCTGCTATTAAACAACAAATCTGAGCGGCTCAGGCGAACGGAAACCCCTTCATCCATCTCCCTGTCTCTTTGCGAATTAGACGCTTGCCTGCCGTCTTTTCTCTTGCATAGTTTATTTCTTATTCCTTACAGTTGCGGAATAAATTGACTTCATGCCGCAGCCGTGCCCGTCGCCGGGACTCATCCGAAGTGCCGTGACGAGGGAGGGGGGTTTATTGGAAGCGACACTGTTGATCTTTCCTGTGAGTCATTTGTCTGTGAGCCGCGGGCGAGGGGGAGCGGGACCGTCACCTGGGTCCTGACAGATGTGACGTCTCCTGTACCTGCCAGACCCCCATTAGATGCAGCTGCCTGTCGCCTGTTGTGTGCTAAAAATAAAAACCAGGGAGCCTCCTTGACACGTAGAGTCCCGTCCTGCTCCACTTCTAAAAAGTTAAAGAAAAATAAATGCGATCGGAAGACTGCAGCCTCTCCACGCAACGAGACTCCGGGCTGCGGGGGTTGGGGGGGGGGGCGGGACCCGCGCTTCCAGACCGGGCGGCTTCTCCGACAGCCCACATGTTGTTAAGTCGCTCCGCTGAGATGCAAATTAGCCAATTTCTCATTTAGTTCATTAACATGGAGGCCCTGGGGTCTGATTAGGAGGGTGTGCCGGGTGGGTCGTCGTGGTCGCGGCACCGTGATGGATCGACTTTCCCCAGTTAGCTACATTCATCTGGCCGTTGTTATGTCATAAAAATCGAAGCTCTGCTCGTCTCATCAAATAGCCATTTTTAGGGGCGACTCTGGTCCTCTGTTCCCATTCTCTAGCCTCTTGAGGCATGCAACCCCTAAGAAAACTTAGTGTGTATTTTACAAAGCATCGTGTCCGCTGCACACTGCTCTCCCGTGTTTCTTGTCTTCCGTCCCTGTTGCTTTGACAGAATTCGCTACTTGTGACCTCAGGTGACTGCGGGGGCATGTCAGCTCACGGCCATCTCCGGTCTGAAGGGGGCTGCGAGTGGCTGCCGTTGTTAATAGAAAGGAGACCACGTTTGAAAAACCACAGCTGACGTTTGACAAAGGTGTTCACTACACAACATATTAGGCTAAAGTGGTCCTGACACGGCAGTGAGTACTGCCACTTCCCCTTATGGAAGGTGATAGTGCTTGTCTGTAGGCCATGTCTTCTTGTTGTGGTCGTTGTTGCTTTTTTTATTCTGTTTTTAACGTCAGCATGCTGGCTTGTAGAAGGAAGGAAATGTCTGTTGCGCTTAGCATCTGTATAGGTCAGCTTCCTGAAGAACGTGCCTCGTGACAGCACCTCGGCGATGTCCTTTGTGACGATGTATTCATTTGTCTTCCTGAGACAAGGTGCTTGATGCGATGCTATTGCCCAATCGGGGAGGGGTGCTTTAGCCATCGAGGTCTATAAGATGTACTGGTTTTTTTTTTTTTTTTCTTTAAGCCGATATTTGTGTAAGGAACCCTGGTGCCCCCGGAGTAATGATGAAATGAGAGGCAGGCCCACGTCACCTGCGGACTCTGCTCTCACCTGGTGCTTCTCCAAACACACACACAGCTGTTCGTGGCTATTTCAGGTTCCCTTGAAAAGTCTTACCAAAAAAAAAATAATAAAAAAATGCCTTACAAAAACAGCCTTTTTTGGGGGAGTTGCATCAGCATATGTCGTTGGTGAATGCAGCCCAGGTTTTTTAAAGCATCTTTTGCGTGACGTGGTGCCTGAGCAGGTAACGCTGTAGCCCTACACCTCCGGGTTGGGGGTGGGGGTGGGGTTTCAGCTCTTACCACCTGATTTTTTTGGTGTGTGGTGTCTACATGTTCTCTCTGCATGGATTCCCTCCTGCAGCGATAAAAATGTGCTTCGTCTAAGTTGTCCATGGTGAGTGAGTATGTATACCCTGTGACAGACTGCTCTATGCCCTATGTGCTCTGATAGATGGATATCTTTAATTTATATTCATTGGGAATTCCATCTGGAAGTTACATAAAGTCTATTTTGCTCATCAAAGCTGACTTTCTATAACCTATGGTCCAACCACTGATGTCACCAGGAAATGTTCATGATCCAAGTTTGCATTGGCAGTCTGTATAAACTAAAATAAATATCTGCCCATCCAACCATCCATCTTCTAAGTATGTATCCTGGTCAGGGTTGAGGGCAAAATAAATATGCTTTATTATTGACGATTGTCCTCTATCAATTAGTGTGTTCAGCTTTTAATGATGTATATGGTGGGCATCGTCTCTCTTATCATTTTCCAGTTCATACTCTTTATTTTTCCATGGATCATTACTGCCAAAAAGATAAAAACAAGACTATATAATGGTATTATGCATCCAAATTTAATGAGACCACTAACTTCTGGCAATGAATTCCCCTTTAAAAGCTGCCATGTCTGTGTTTTTTTGGTGCTAAAAATAAAACCTGAAAAACGGTGGACTTGCAAATGTGGCGCTTTATTAAGGATGCTGACAAGCTGCATATCAGTTATTTATGCTGATTTGCTTACAGAGGAATGTATCGCATATTTACCGTCAGGCAGTGTGGAAAATGGTAAACGTGCTCTTTGTATTCCTAAGCAAATGCATGCACATTTTATCAGGACACCCCATGCTTATACATTTTATAGAAATGTATCGCACTCTTAGTTTCCTCCACCGTTTCAAAGCATATTAATCTTAAAAAAACCCAGAGGTATGGTTTTCTCACATCTGACAAATGGCTCGATTTTTTGCGGTGCATCACAGTGCCGGTTAAATTTCTACGCGCAAAGCTGCATGTGTCTGATAGATCCCGCTCCTCTTTCAGCCAACCAGCACCTGTGTTTCCCGTGCACATGGCGGACAAAACCAGGGGCGGGGTGAGATCTTCCTGGGGACTCCGCCTACTGTGCCTCCAAGGGACTGCAAGGGCAAACTCGGTGGAGAAGCAAAAAAGAACGAAAAAGGGATAAAGTTCCTCCCTTAAAGGTTGCATAGAAAAAGCCGCGACTGATCTATGCCCTGATGGAAAAGGAGGGACGCTTTGTTATCACACTTAATGAAAGCGAATGAGGTTTGCGACCTGCCTGCCGTCTCTTCTCATCTCCCCAGTAATTGGATGTGTTCCCTGTTTTTCCAAGGTTCCGGCGGGAGGAGCAGGATGGAGCAAACAAACAGATTGTGTTTAGATAACGGCCATCTCCAATCACAGATTATCTGGCTTGATATTTTCTTCAGTGAAACACCAGCCGACAAGGTCAGGGGTACGAGATCCCCAACGGGGAGAGTGGAGCATGATGGGTAGACTCTTGTCTCCCTCCGCTAACTCTCTCACACCGCTTTTCTTCCTCTCTTTTTCTCTTCTTGACAGGCAGGCCGGGCTGGGAATGTAACCGAAGGCGGACTGCTTAAGAAGATTTGGATTACCAAAAATGTTGGGTGTAAGCTACAGCTCGGCACAGATTATCCAGATAGCATCCAGACTGTTAAGAAGCAGAGGAATGTAGCCGCCAGCTCTATCAGTTAGGTATGGGATTCCTGACTTATTTATGAAATTAATACCCTGATATAGGCATGTTTTAAATCAAATTGTTATCTAAGCAAATTGTCACATTATAGTATTGGAGTGTAGAATTAAGCTTGCGGACTTCATCCTTCCATTGTTTTTGGGTTCTGTTGAAGATGTGCTCTAGTCCGTTCTTAACTTGGATCATGGAAGCATGCAAGGATCCGTATGGAAACCATTCTCACAGCTGCTGAGTCTCGATCGAGTGCTTGGGGTGGATAGAGGAGGGGAGCAACCGATCAGGAAGTCCCCCCCCAGGATCAAGGCCCCGCAGAGGAAGCTGCATGTGTCTATTTATTGTGAGGAGACATCCCTCTGCAGCGAGGCTTGGGGGGGGGAGGCTGAGTGAATGGCAGTATCCGCTAATAGGCAGTAATGCCTGCAAAAGCATTAGAACCAGATGCTGCCACAACCCCCGGTGACGGATAATGGCTGATGTCACGCGCCTGATCGATGTTACCTCATGTAGAGCCTGGCCCGGCGCAGGCTAGAAATATATCCTCTGCTTCCAGGCGGTCTGGCCCACAGAACATGGTCTCCCTGGCATTCGTACCTGTTGGCCATCGACGGCCTCTGATTCCTCAAACCCCCCCGTCGTCTTTGGCCCTGTGGAGCTGAGTCGTGCAGTCTCAGAGCTCTGGCGATTCTGCCATAACTGGGCTTTTTTCACATGAATCGTTTAGCGAACCGATTCCCTTGGATGCTAGTATATAATTTCCGGATGCCGAGAATCTGTTCGACTCAGGTGCTTTATTCCGTCTGAGACCGAAAGTTTCCACGGTAGACCTGCAGGGATGCGATTTGGACGAAGGGCGGTCTGTATTTCACTCACTGGCGTGCATTTTTCCTCCCCCTATCCCTCTCCCTGGCAGAGAGGGAGCGGTAATTGATAGCGGGGCCTATCCATCCTTCTCTCTCAGGCCCCCCTGTCCAATTCATCTCCGTAAAATGCAGACTGGCTCCCGCCCAAGCCTTGTCGGTCAGACTTTGCCTGTTTTTAGATGGCCATTAATTAAAGTGGCGCTGTGACAAAAATAGGATTTAAATGGGATTTGTGTGGTGAGGAAATGGGCAGCAGGATCCTAACCTGGCAGTGTAAATCGCCAACGAGCTCTACTACAGGGAGACAGAATGCAAACGGGACAAGTTCGTTACGGTGTAAGAAATCCTGATGGCGTCCCCTAACCATGTTACGCCGCTGTGCTGGACTTATTCTGCACAATTTATATATATATATATATATATATATATATATATATATATATATATATATATATATATATATATATATATATATAT